GCAGTACAAATCGTGTTTCCGGTACGGATCGAGTAGTGACACCCATCATGTGATAAATACCAGGTACAAGATGGGGAGGAGGCAAGATGGCGGACTGAGTAGTTGACATTTTATCTGCGCCATAAATCCCGGGTTTGGACTGAGTAGTCGACATTTTATCTGCGCCATAAATGAGTCCCGTGTTTACTTAAAAGTGATGAGTTTATACTCCACTCATTAACTTCAAGTGTTAGTCCATTATACCCGACATTGCTATTTTCAAGTTGCTATAAATTTTCCGTTTGTAATCGCTTCTAATTTGAAGATGGAGGAACACTCTTACTCAATGGACACTGATGAAGTTTCAGGTAAAAGAGAACGGGGAACTGATTCCAATCCATCCACTCCGTTTAAATCTCAAAGTGGAAAAAAAGCTAAAAAATCGATTGGAAATGATCTGACTGGTGATATGTCTAACATCGCTATCCTTGACGCAATTAAAGCACTCGGAGTCAAAGTAGATGAGCAGCACGAAGATATTAGCATGCAACTGAAACAGCATAGCGCTATGATTGCAAGTATGGCAAAAGCGGTACAAATTAATGCGGAAGAGGTTAAAGAATGTAAAGAGAAGGTGAGCATGTTGGAAAAGCAATTGGAGACGCTCACTAAAGAAAACGACAATCTGAGAAATCGAGTTCTAGACCAGGAAAGATACAAGAGGAGATGGTGCCTTTGCATTAGAGGAATGAAAGAAATCCTCAACGAGAACATTCGGGAAGACGTGATCCAACTTCTTGTTAAAATTACCCCTGAATTCTCCTCCAACATGTATGATGCTGTGGATGTTGTGCATCGGGTGGGAAAAAAAGAGGCCACCAGACCCAGGGAAGTGATCATTCTCTTTGCGCGTAGAGGAATCAGAGATGAGATCTGGAAAAGAACGAAAGATGTGCAGGGATGCTGGAATCAGATTCGCTGAGGACCTGACAAGAGAAGATAGACTAGCAAGACGTGCGTTGTGGCCGAAGATTGAGCAAGCCAGGAAAGAAGGAAAGACAGCTGGATTTCGTGGACCTTTCGGGTTCATAAATGGAAAACGTATTTCAGAAAATTAATGGGTATGTGGACAGTGATTTTCACTTGATAAGTGAGATGGACGATAGAGATGAGGGACTCTCTGTGTTATTTCGTTGAAACTTTCTTCTAGCGTTTACAGAGTTTATTATATTTAGTAGTTAAAGACCAGAGTTAACGACTGGTTCTATGTTCTCGTTATCTAATGTTTAATTTTCGTCTTTAAACTGTAGGGGTCTGAAAGATTCAGTTAAAAGGAAAGGTATTTTTCTTTTTTGCAAAAGTCAAAAATCAAACTTAATTTTTCTTCAGGAAACTCACTCGGAAGCTTCGGATGCTCCTTTCTGGTGTAATCAATGGGGTGATGATTACTTACTAGTCTTCTAGCACGCTACAATCCATCACGCTCCCTAAGG